GGGTGTGTCTCTGGGTGATACACATGCTCTGCATGGCGAAAGCGTGCCTGGTCATCCTGCCTGTGCGCATGCGCCTGCGAGTGTGTGGAGATGTCTGTGAGCTGCACTGCTCGAGCCTTGGTGGGCCCACGTGCCATCTGTATGTGTGAGTGCTGGTGGGTGAGTGTGCGTGAGTGTGTGTGTGTGTGTGCGTGTGTGTGTGTCTGTCTGTCTGTCACGGTCATGAATACTCCTGTGTGAGAACATCTGGAGCACGGTCCTTGCCTGTCAATTCTTAGTCCCTGGAAGCTTCCAGAAGGTTCTCTGGGCCCTGGGGCCTGGCTGGTGCTGGGCTGGCGGAACTGGTTTTCTCCCAGGTTGGCCCCTGGCCTGGGGTCTCCAGGTGCCAGAGGCCATGGCGGGTGTTGGCGGGAGGCAGAGGCTGAGCTTGGATCCCATCAGGCGGCTGACAGGCTGGGTTGTGTCCCCCACAGTGAAGAGTGAGGACGAGGATGGGGACATGAAGCCTGCCAAGGGGCAGGGCGGCCAGAGCAAGGGCAGCGGGGATGACGGGAAGGACCCCCGGAGGCCCAAGCGACCCCGCACCATCCTCACCACGCAGCAGCGAAGAGCCTTCAAGGCCTCCTTCGAGGTCTCCTCCAAGCCCTGCCGGAAGGTGAGGGGCGGGGGGTGGGGTGGGGTGACCGCACCTGCTGCCTTTCCAGACACCACCCTGTCCACGCCGGCTGGGGACGGGGATGTCCCTCCACCTCCCGCTCATCCATCCACCCCCAGCCCACCACCTCCCCCGGCCTGACCTGCCTCCCTCTCTCCCTCTCCTGGCAGGTCCGCGAGACGCTGGCAGCAGAGACAGGCCTCAGCGTGCGCGTGGTCCAGGTCTGGTTTCAGAACCAAAGAGCCAAGGTGAGAGGCCGCCGGCCCCTGCCCCGCCGGGCAGAGTGGAGGGGAGCTGCGGGCAGGAGGCAGAGGGCCTGGTGTTGGGGGGCAACTAATGGGGGAGGTGGGGGGAAGGGGCGGGGACTGGCACGAACTGTGTCTCCCGCAGATGAAGAAGTTGGCACGGCGGCACCAGCAGCAGCAGGAGCAGCAGAACTCCCAGCGGCTGGCCAAGGTGAGCCGGGGCCGGGGCCGGGACCAGGGGGCCTGGCTCCGTCACTTACACCAAGACGCCCAAGGAACCTCCCCCAAGGCCGTCAGCTCAGGGGACAGCTGCCTTGGAACCAGCTGAGCCCAGTGAAGCCGAGAGGTGGCAGCCACCACAGGACGCAGGAGAGGTGGCAGGGTGGGCAGCTGGAGGGGTGGCAGCCACCACAGGACGCAGAAGGGGTGGCAGACGTCCTGATGTTAAAACCTCAATCCTCTGCTCCCTGTCACCATGTGCCAGGCACCGAACGCATCACGTGACACGCTCGGTCTCACTTCTCACAGGTCCCCGTGAGGAAGGGCGTTGCCGTGTCCTATTTCACAGATGAGGCTGGGCTCAGTGAGACAGGGCCTGTTGGGCAATAAGGGACAGAGCCGGCCTCACGTCCGCGGGGCTCCTAAGCTGGTGCGCACCCTGACCACAGGCCCCGCTGCCCACGGCGGAGTCTCCAGAGAAAGTGCACGGTGTGGAGGAGTCCGGCTGGGCTCGTGCTGGGCGGGGAGGGGCTAGTTAAAGGGGCAGGAGGCAGCCCCTCCAACACTGGGCTTTGCCAAAATGCCAGGCCGGTCTCCCAGGCCTCAGGGGGACCTGGAACCTTCAGGCCTTGAAGGGAGGCACGGGGACTCTCTGGGGCACTGAAGTGGGTGGGGGCCCCGAGCTGCCCGCTCTGGAGTGAGGCAGGGGCTTCGCTCAGGACTTCGGGGGCCAGTGTCCCAGGCTGACCCAGGGCTTCAAGGCCATGGCCTCGGGGCCCAGTTCTTCCCCTCTGCTCCCTCTGCCCCTCTCCCCGGACAGTGGATTCCGGAGGCCGCAACCACTGCCTCGTCTCTCAGGCAGCGCAGGAGGTGTGCCCCTGGGGTTCCCAGCGGCCCCCAGGCTCAGCTGCCCCTCTCGAGTCTGTGAACCCTCGTTGGTTCTTTAAGTCACACGGGGGTGGGGCCCCTTCGTCAGGAAGCCTTTTCTGGGCCTCCTTGGCCGGGTTCATGCCCCGCCTGGATACTCCCAGATGCAGGGGCTCACTGCACCCACGCACTGA